GCCTGGGTCAGGGGCGCCACCCATGAGCTACTAGAACACACAATTCTGTAGTCACCTCACTCTGTGACGTCTCGTTATGTGAAACTATCAATTGTCCATAGCGTTTGAAGCAGTCCAGTTGGAGTTTTATTTTATTTGCAGCCCAAATCATCATAACTATTACGGAGCCGATTTACTGTTATTTGTTGGACCGTTTCATTAAGTTGGGCTACCTACTCTTCAAGCTGAAAACAAGTCCAGTGGTAAATTAGATAGAAGGAAACAGAGTGCTTCTGACATACATAGTTCCAGGAACAGAAAGTGACGACTGACGACGCAGAAGCAAGGAAATAGAGTAAATTGTAAAACAAAAAACAGAAACAGGAAGGTAAAAGTACAACACTCGGGGTCATTTAGTAGCGGAGTAGAGAATGCCACACACTCAAAAGCCCATAAAAGCATCATTTTCTTAAAGAAGAGATCAATATTGAAATAATCTGTTTAGAAAATTTTCCATCTAAAGGAATATTTTTAAAAAGATTTTATTTATTTATCTGAGAGAGAGAGAGAGCATTAGTGGGGAAGAGAGGGAGAAGCAGGCTCCCCACTGAGCAGGGAGCCCGATGCAGGGCTCGATCGCAGGACCCTCGGATCATGACCTGAGCCAGAGGTAGACTCTTAACCGACTGAGCCATCCAGGTGCTAAACTAATAATTTTTTTTAAGTTTTTCTGCTTAAGGGTCGAATCAAATTTATCTGGAAGAAGAAAAGAGCTTGTTAGACCTACTAATCCCCTGAAAATTTTATACATCTTGGATTTTCCTCTACACATGCCAGAAAGCATTGTTCTGAGCCACTTGGAACTCACAGGCTACATTATAAATAGTGACTAGGTTCCAAAGACAGTCCACAAAAGTCCATTTGACTCTAAACGGACCTGAAGACTGGTGGGAATTATGGTGGCAGGGATTGGGACTCTGGGCAGTGTCTACCCATTGGAAATTGGAACGTTATCCCACAGGACAGGCCCAGGTCATCTGGCTCAGACCAAGGAGGTACTTCCTACAGCCATGCTACAAGGCACACACTGCCCTGTTAGCTGCCTGCCCATCTCTGGACAATGCACACTAAGGCTAGCTGACAGCCTGGGCTGGAGGACAGGTAACCACATCAGGTGGGAAGCTGGCAGAGATGACCCTTAAGATCTCCCATTCTGTTTTCCATTTCCCCATGTCCCTATGGGTTCTGAAGGCTCAGAGATGCTATGAATGGTGGCTGTTCTGTCCCTGTATTTTCTCAGTCACCACAGACTTCTATCAGTGAAGCACCTGACAACAGGCACAGTCCCACAGCTGGGGTGGCCCCTCCTTGCTGCATCACTGCTGGTACCAATCTCCTCACAGCCCATCCTGCCGCTGCCTAAAATCCCCAAGAAATGGGGTGCACCCGGGTGGCGCGCACTCAGTTAAGCGACCCACTCTTGGTTTCGGCTCAGGTCACGATCTCAGGGCCCTGAGATTGAGCCCTGCGTCAGGCTCCGTGCGGAGCACAGAATCTGCTTGAGTTTCTCTCTCCCTCTGCCCCTCCCCCCTAAAATAAATAAATAAATAAAGTCCCCAAGCAACAGTCCAAGGATGCCACCACCAATGAAAGCAAGAATGAGCAGGAAACCTTGATGGTCTTGGTAAGGTAATGAGAGGTACACAATTACTAGTTTCTCTGGCATAGTCTTGGATTTTGACTTCAAAATCTTACCTTTCCAAAGCCTGCCTTTGTCCAAGAAGACTTCTCTAAGAGTCTTCCTGGTTGAGATTAGTGAATATTTCCTTAGAATATTGCAGCAGGTTCTTACACCTCCTTTGTAGTACCTCTCTCATTCTGCACTATATTAGGGTTATTTGTGGGAAAATCTTATCTCTCTTAGTAGGCTGTAAGATCCTATAAGTCAGGATCCATGAAAGCCAGGAGAAATCAGCTCTGAGTAATTGGACAACTGTACCAAGGGTGGGGTTTGTGGGTAGCAGCTCATTCCACATTAATTCATTCATAGGCAGCAAGCATGTATAGGGTGTCTGTGTGCGTCTATTGTGTGCTGGACATTGAGTTTGATTCTTGAGGAGGGTGTAAAGCAAATAAATGTTATTCGAAGACTTTAGCCTCCAGAACTCACCGTCTCATAATGGAGGCTATCACCTCCTCTGATCCTTAACGTCAACTCAGAGGCAGAACTTGGAGTCAGGACATGTCCAGTCACCCAAAAGAGATATAAGTCTGTAACTGATCATCTGGAGAAAAAGTGGCCAATTCCTACGTTATGCCACTGGACTTTGGACATTCCAACAAATATGAGGGTATGATGATTTATCGAAGTCTCTAGAGATAAGGTAGGGACCAACCACAGGAAGGGTCATTGTTCCTGCCCGTGGAGGGACCGGAGAGAGAAGACTGGCACTAGAGGCGAGGCTGGAAAGTATGAGGGAAAGCAGACAGTGTGTCATATCTGACAGAGGACAGGAATGCAGAGTGCGGAGCCAGGCTGCCCAGCTCTGAATCCCAGCTTGGCCATTTACTAGCTGTGTGACCTTGAGCAGTTGCTCAACCTCTCTGTGCCTCCGTCCTCACTTGCGAACTAGGAATAATGATCAAGCCTTTCTCGTAGAGTGATGGTGAGGATTTAGAGAGTTAATGTGGGTATGGGCTCAGAACAGTGTCAGTAGTGTGAGTTGTTACATTATCATTACTGTGCTGGGGCCTGGACTGAGAGTGGGTCGGCACCTGGGCGGGACAATCTCACCTATACCAGTAAGGTCAGGCCCTTTACTGTAGAGATACAAAGCCAGCCTCTCAACCCCATGACCAACACTTCCCAGAGAATGTCGGCTGTTAACCTGGGGAATAAATCAATTTCCAGATCGCTCCAGCCTCAGCAGAGAGGCTTTACCAGACATGTGAACGCGATATTCCCAATTGAGCAGGAAATGTGGAGATCCTCCCTCCTGGACACTCTCTCTTGCTTCAGGACATCAGTGTAAGCCCAGTTATCCATAGGAGACTCTAACAGTGACACGCTTTCTTCCCCAAATACCTCTACAGTGTAGTCAGTCTTCATTGCTTCAGTATTAGCTATGGCCCTCATCCACCTTCTGATGGCTTTTAGTCTACATTTCCCTGTGAATTCCATGACCCTCATAAAAATCCAGAACTCATTTCTCTGCTCAACTATGTCTGGTGAGGAGAAAACAAACATGACATAGAATGGTCCTGCCATCCGGATGATGATTAGAATTCAAGCCTGAGAATATCAAGTACTTTTCAAGAGTCTGGGGAAGACATTCTCACACATGCTGGTGGGAGTATCCATCTTGAACAGTCATTTTGGAGGGCCGCTTGGCAGTGTGGGCTAAATTTAAAATGCACACACCCTCTGACACAGCGACTACAAGCTCCACGTTTACCTGAGGAACTTCCCGTGAGAACAAAGGAGGCATATCAAGGACTTACACCGAGTCTCTTCATTCGAAATAGAGAAAGAACTCAGAAATAAGCTAAGTACCCAGTAAGAGGGAAACAGCTAAACTGTGACATATTCATCTATTGGAATACCATGCAGCATTAAAAGCATGAGATGTGTCTAGATTCACTGGCATAGAAGGATGTGCATAATAATACGCTATGGGATAAACTGTGCCCTGCCCCCCCCAAATTCATATGTTGAAGCCCCAACCCCCAGTACCTCCGAATGTGACTCTATTTGAAGAGAGAGACTTTAAAAGAGGTAATTAGGGTAAAACAGTCTTTAGGGTAGGTCCTAATCCAACATGACCGGTATTGTAGAAAGGGGTTAGGACACAGACACACAGAGGGAAGTCTGTGTGAGGACACAGGGAGAAGGCAGGTGTCTACAAGCCAAGGAGAGAGGTCTCATAAGATACCAACCCTGCCAACACCTTGATCTTGGACTTCTAGCCTCCAGAATTGTGAGAAAACGCATTTCTGTTGTCTAAACGACCCAGTCTGTGGTACATGGTTGCAGTAGCCCTAGCAAACTAATATCCAATATGCGATATTTTCCGTGGGTGTGGATAGATGCAGGTAATATATGGAAAATGGAATGGAAGAGTCCACCCTAGTCTCATAACAGTGGTTACCTTTGGGAGGAAATGGGTTTGAGATTGGGGGATTATAGCCTTAAAAATAAGGTCTTAATTTTTACAATGAGAAAGCACTTGTCTATTATTTGTACATCGATTTTAAAAATCCCTCTTTCATGGCACTCTGTTAAATTCAGTATGCAATACACGTCACCACCCAGATGCAACAATCTTTAGAACTTCATTCCACGTCCACTCCCACCGTTGCACCCCTCATGCACCTGTTGGCCACACCAGAATATCCCATCCCTCCGATGCCTCCATGCCTCTATGCCTCCGTCTATCCCCTTTGCCTAGAATGCCTTCTCCTCCTTTTTAAGCCTGGGTTGCTGATTTTCAGCCTTCAGAGCCTAGCTCCGGTGTCACCCGCTTTATAAACATGTTGACAAAAGTCTTACGACAGATTTTCCCAGGCCACGCTTCTCTGTTCTTTTGATGTCTTATTCACATGCGTGTTCCCAGGGCCCATCAGTGTCTATAGGCAAGTAAATGCTCAATAAATGGTTCTAAATGCATGGATGATAGGAATGCTTTCTGGAAGGTTGCTTCTTCAATCCAGGCCATCTCAAAGGCCCAACATTTCATTCTCTGTGTGTTAACTCAGGCTCCCTAGAGACGAGCACTGTAATCGTGACATGATCAAGGTCCGGCCTTTAACTGTTTCCTTAATACAACAGGGACAACTCGATTTCTGGGCCAGCCAAGCCCCATTTGCTTTCAATTCTAGTGAAATCAGCTGAGAATGTATTGCAATTTATTTTATTCAAGTTCTGTGCCCATAAAGGTCTTCAATTACTTAACCTGCAATAGGCCCAAATCAAAAATGCTTATTGACCTCTGACTGGGAGGCTCTGATAATGCAGGTCTTACCTCTTCATCGGCTTGGGGGAGCATTCTCTCTCCAGATTGGAGGATGTGTGTTTCACGTGCATGGCATTGTAGGAAGTGTGAGTATAGTCATTTTCATCACTGTAGTCTGGACCAAGTAACGTCCGGGCCCAAGTTCCCATATCATAAGGAGGAAGGGTTCCTCCAAATTCAGAGGGCAAAAATTCGGGGTGGATTAGCTGGTGAAGGCTGTTTAAATTGTTTCCATGCAGGAAAATCTGGGGAAAGGAAAAAAACAATTATCAACAAAAAATCCAAAACATATGAGCAACTATTTAGCTTAATACACAATTTGGCAATGACAAATTGGATGCGCTGCTGGTGATCATGGTGTTTAAAGAGGCATTCACTTTTGTGTCTGCAGCTTAATCTTCATAAAATGTTAATTTATTGCTCAGAAAAGGGGCTGAATTAATAGTCCTTAAAAAATGAAGTTTATGAACAAATTGGGTATTATTTGGCCATGGCCCAAATTTACACATACAGTAATCTCTTAACTATCCCTGCTGCTAAAAAGGGTAGCAATGCACACCATGCAAACCCCCAGTCATGCTTCCCGTGCACCCCCACATTGTTCTGTTCCTCCTGCTCCCTCAAGGGCTTCCTGCCCTCTGTACACGCTCCGTGCCCCCATCCTTTCCAGGCCTTTGCCAAGCGGTAGCCTCTTCCTCAGTCTGTCCCAGAGACACCTGCGCCCTCTGGTTCTCCTCCCTGCTGCCCCCAATTAACTATTATTTGCTGACTTCTATTTTTTCTGATTTGTTCATTTATGTCTTGCTTGTCCACAGGAAAGGAAGAATACTCAGGAAAAGGGATGGGGTTTTCTTACTCTTTTAATACATTCCCAGATCCCAGGGTGATGTGGGCACAAGGTAAAAACTCCATCCATTAGTCAGTGGAACTGAAAACTGTGGCCTGAGAACTTATGGATATTTTTATAGCCATCTTCCATTTATGTCGGGACTGAGGGCTAACACCCAAATAAGTTTGCATCTTCTGAACGTGTAATGAATGGTGGTGGAAACTGGCCAAGCAGGGGAGAAAACATCCCCAAATTTCAATTATTTTCTGACAACTCCATAAAGTGGTTAAGCCGTAAGTCAAGAATGACCATTTCCTACAGTTTAGGAATTGACTTCTGAAAGTCTAGTTAAAGTCCATCTGTAGAATGATATCAGTTCTCACATTTCTCATTGCAAGTTCAACACACATAAGTTATACTCAAGTGCAGGACCACTGATAATACATACACAGGTGTACACACACACACACACACACACACCACAGTTACGATTATGCAATGTAAATGTGACTTTTTAAAATACTTAAAAATAGGAGCACCTGAATGGCTCAATTGGTTAAGTGTCTGCCTTCGGCTCAGGTCATTGTTCCAGGGTCCTGGGGTCAAGCCCCACACTGGGCTCCCTGCTCAGCGGGGAGTCTGCTTCTCCCTCTCCCTCTGCCCCCGCTTCTCGTGCTTGCTCTTGCTCTCAAATAAATAAATAAAATCTTTAAAAAATAATAATAAAATAAAATACTTAAATATAGTATAATATACCATAAAATTATTATCAATTATGTTATATACTATAGACTATATTATTATATACTATGTAATAAAGGCATATACTTGCTACATTGTTCCACTGTATTGATTTTAACTTATGATGTAATGGCATCATTTAAAAAGGAAAGGAACAAGAAGCTAAGTGCTAACATTCCTCAGAAGAATACTGTAGCACTTCAGAAAACTATGTACATTTTCTGACATTGGATCTCAATTTTAATAAGAATTATTGCTCTCACTGATATGAGGAATTCTTAATCTCAGGAAACAAACTGAGGGTTGCTGGAGTGGTGGGGGTGTGGGAGGGATGGGGTGGCTGGGTGATAGACATTGGGGAGGGTATATGTGCCATGGTGAGCACTGTGAATTGTGCAAGACTGTTGAATCGCAGACCTGTACCCCTGAAACAAATAATACATTATATGTTAAAAAAAAAAAAGAAGAAGAAGATAGCAGGAGGGGAAGAATGAAGGGGAGTAAACCGGAGGGGGAGACGAACCATGAGAGATGATGGACTCTGAAAAACAAACTGAGGGTTCTAGAGGGGAGGGGTGTGGGGGGATGGGTTAGCCTGGTGATGGGTATTAAAGAGGGCACGTTCTGCGTGGAGTGCTGGGTGTTATGCACAAACAATGAATCATGGAACACTACATCAAAAACTAATGATGTATGGTGTATTAACATTTGTTATGTGTGGTGATTAACATAACAATAAAAAATAAAATATTAAAAAAATAATAAGAATTATTGCTGTTGAAGAAATTCATGTGTTCTGGCCTTTGCAAAACACCTCTCAGGAGGAACTATAGTGTTTGAAGCATGGACAAGCTGGAGATAAATATTAGCCCTGGTATTTAGAGCAAATATTTGTACCTTCCCACCCAAAACCTCCAGTTCTTTTTTTAAAATTTTTTGTACTATCAATTTTATTTGTGATCTTCACTTTTTCTGTTTCAAGTTTTTATTTAAATTCCAGTTAGTTAACATATAGTGCAATATTGGTTTCAGGAGTAGAATTTAGGATTCATCACTTACATATAACACCCCAGTGCTCATGCCAACACTCATTTGGGCCCTCCTTAATCCTCATCACCCATTCGGCCCATCCCTCCACGCACCTCCCCTCCTGCAACCCTGTTTGTTCTCTATAGTTAAGAGTCTGTTTTATGGTTTGCCTCTCTCTTTTCCCTCTTATGTTCATTTGTTTTGTTTCTTAAATTCTACATATGAGTGAAATCATATGGTTTTTGTCTTTCTCTGACTGACTTATTTAGCTTAGCATAATACCCCCTAGTTCCATCTTCATCATCGCAAATGGCAAGATTTCATTCTTTTTCATGGCCGAGTGATACTCTATTATATAGAGATACCACATCTTCTTTATCCAGTCATCAGTCGATGGACATTTGGGCTCTTTCCATAATTTAGCTATTGTTAATAATGCTGCTATAAACATTAGGGCGCACATGTCCCTTCGAATCAGTATTTTTGTAGCCTTTGGATAAATACTTAGTAGTGAAATTGCTGGGACTAGGGGAGCTGTAGTCTTAACTTTTTGAGGAATCTCCGTACTGCTTTCCACAGCGGCTGCACCAGTTTGCATTCCCACCGATAGCCAACATCTCCAGTTCTTAAAGGATAAGCAGTGCTGTGTAAACTGGCCCTGTCTCTTGGGGCTCTGTGGGATGGAAGAACTCAGCAGATAGGAGGCTGGACTCTTCGCCCGTCCGATTCTGTTCTGTGCCCAGAGCTCCTGAAACTCCCTTCTATGGTGCAGCAGCATGTGTAAATTGCTTTGTAGGAGGAATTCCACTAGCTCCTTTCTGAGTAGAAGATGCAGCCACTGGGAAGCCTGAAGCCATACTGGGAACAGTCTAGACACTTCTCTGTCCTTAGCGCTGTTCTGAGCCTTCGACAGATTGCAAAATGCTTCCAAATGTCTCTGCCTCCTGAGGCTGGTGAGTTCTAGTTCTTAGTTCCATCCTTGTTTGGGGACAGGAGAATTACCCCTCCCATACCCTGCTGCAATGTTTCCTAAGGATCTGGAAGCATCTGAGGTTTAGGAGTTAGGGACACTGCAGAGTGTGTACGCCGACTGAGGGCCCTCATATCATCATTCCCCCCTGCATACTCAGACTCTTCCCCAGCACGGGGTCCCCTGGGTATAGGGGCATATGCAAGGTGCTGTTAAGAATGACCTTGGTCAGGGGGCGCCTGGGTGGCTCAGTCATTAAGCCTTCTGCTCAGGTCATGATCCCAGGGTGCTGGGATCGAGCCCCGCATCGGGCTCCCTGCTCAGCCGAGAGCCTGCTTCTCCCTCCCCCACTCCCCCTGTTTGTGTCCCCTGTCTCGCTGTGTCTCTCTCTGTCAAATAAAAAAAAAATCTTTAAAAAAAAAAAAGAATGACCCTGGTCAGGGGTGGCTCAGGCGGTTAAGCGTCTGCCTTCGGCTCGGGTCATGATCCTGGGGTCCTGGGATCTAGCCCTGCGTTGGGCTCCCTGCTCAGTGGGAAGCCTGCTTCTCCCTCTCCCTGTTGCTCCCCCTGTTTGTGTTCTGTCTCTTTCTCTGACAAATAAACAAATAAAATAATAAATAATCAAATATATTAGAAAAAAAAAAAAAAAGAATGACCCTGGTCAGATTCCCTTGAGAGGTAGTGCACCTGAAGTAAGTGAAATCAGGAAGTTTGAAAGAAAGGAAGCTAAATGGTAAAGAGAATGAGAGTCACTGAGTCGCTACCGCGTGATTGGCATTACACGACCTGCTTTTCATATGCTGCCTCTTTAAATTACCCAACAGCTCGGTGATCGGGGTGTTGGTCTCCCCGTCTTTCTAAATGAGGAAACTGAGATTCAGAGTGAGTGGTGGAACAATGTTCAGTCTCTCTGCTAATCAGAATGCCATGACAAACCCTGGCTCTGATGGAAGGTGCTGGCCTCCCAAATGTCATCAGCTGATGCAATTAAGACTTTAAAAGCTTTCTTCCTAAGAGCATTATTATTTCTCGTGAAGAATGCTTTCCCAGCCTCAAAGGTGATGGAGCTGGCAGCGATGACCCAAGAGCCATAGGGAAGAAAAACAAATGGTAAACATTCTTCATCACGATAATACATTTGCAGGACAAAACGCTAGCTATTAAAATATGCCGTGAACGGAAAGCTGCTTGACCCCATAGCTCCCTCGAGCATTTACAGTAAAATGGGCATCTGGTATTTGCATGCCTTCAAAGTTTCCTTTGGTTTGTCACTGGGACTCTGAAAATAACCCAGTTCTACTAAATTATTGATTAAATCCAGGCCATTTGCAAACTCCAGCTGGGCTCAAATGCTCAGGGAGTGCAGAAAAGCAGAAAACCCACAGTGCAAAATAAGGAGAGAGGGAGCGAGAAAGAGAGAGAGGGGAGACAGAGAGATGGAGAGGAGGGTCCAGCAACTGCCCCTCGGGAGCCCCCCATTGGGTGTTTGTTTTCATTACCCGCTTCCTGGTCTTGTCTTTAAGGAATGGCTTGATGAGCGTGTACAGGGCATGAATGTACCAGGGTTGGTTGACAAAATGGACTCCTCCGAAGCGGGCAGGAAAGCTGTCCTGGGGCGGAAAGAGAGAAATGCACACCAATTAGCACACATTCCGGATTGGACCGGGCCCGTAGGACCACAACCCTGGGAACAACCTATTTCTTCCCTCTGACAGAGGCACAAGCTAATGGTGAGCAAGCAAGCACACCTCCTTCCGGGCTGCTACCATTTCCTCTATCCCCCCTTGCCTCTCTCCTCCCCTTGGACTCCATAACTTAAAAATCGTGCATAGGTGCTGGCTCTGTCCTCCCAAGTCACGATGGCATGACCTCTGATGCGGTACAGGAGTATGTGTGACCCAGATAGTCAGGGAGTCCAAATTCTCCCATGTGTCAGGCAACCAAAGCTTCAGGTCCCCCAAGCCCTGAGCACACACTCCCTCTTCTCCCTCACTCTCTGCCTTCCAGCTACAACCCTCTCTATTGGTGTTATCACGACAGCAGCTGAACTTTCTGGGCATAGGAAGGGACTGGAAAATGATTTCAAATGATCCAAAGAGCTGGAGCTCTCTGGAATCCACCAACGTCTGACAGCATTTGCTGGCAACATTTCCACAAAGGGCTAGATCTTTCTTTCATCCCGGGACCCACACAGTAGGGTCCAGGGAAGAGATATGTGTTGATGGATGGGCTAGCTGGTCCCCCTAACTGAGGGAACATGGGCCTCCTCTTCTGCAGATCAATATATTTTGTACATATCAGGAAATGAGAGCATCTTTCAAATGCTTCCAATTTTAGAATCCAGATCAGGGCGCAAGCTTATCTTTTAGACAAACTGAGAAGCAGTTCTCCACGCTAACTAGATCCACAAAATAAGGGCCCTTGACCATGAAGTCCAAGCTAGTCCCACAGCCCCAGGACCTGAGTTTTTGATGTAAGGCCCCCACAGATTGCATTGCATTCATCTTGGTTAGTGGAATTTAAAAAGGAGGAACAACTCATTCAATTTGAATTGCCAAGTGTGCTGCCAATCAATTTCATCGCAACAAACATCTTTGTAAAATGTAAGCAAGAAGAGATGAAAGCAGAAGGAGCCTAGCTGCCTGAGCTAACAGTTCAGGCAGCAGTCTGATCCCTGAGGGTGTATGAAATGCCTTGCCTGGGTCCTTTTAGTAACAAGGCAAGAGGGTTATTAACCTTTTTTCAGAGCCCTGTGAGTCTACAGGATCCCTGGGCATCTTCCACACCGAGACCTAGTTCCCAATATAAGTCCCTAAACTGTGTACATAAGGGTTGACATTTAAAAAAAACCTAAAAATTATTTTTGCCTCTACCTACACATTTTACAGAATACAAAGGAATTGCATATTTTGAAGATAAACCAGATGATTTGATTAAAACTCTTCGTTTTGGAGGGTATATTTTATTTTATTTTAAAAAATTTAATGAAACCACCAGGCAAGGGTAGAGAGGCTTTTTATACTAATTTGTACATATGTCATAATCTCTCACTATTCCAAATCTGATTTTAAATAGGTAAAAAATTTTAATAAGGCTGTCTTTTCTCTTTTAGGTAGTTTGGGATCTAAAAATTCTTTTGTGCCTTAAAAAAAAAATCATTCCCCAAAGTTTTTCCTTAGCATAAGTGCTAAACACTAACCTCGCTCTTTTTGGTCCCTTTGAACTTGTTATTCAGAAATATAACTCATTATCCCACACTAAGTATGGGTTCTGAAAGACTATAGAAGAAAAGGTGAGTACTATAAAGGGTTTATCTATAAAACCAGGGCTTTACTATCTTTTTCTAATAGGTCCAATAAGAGGGTTTTTATTTCTATTGAAAGCCTGTTGTATTATACAGTTTTAGGTTAGTAAAGTGGAAGAAAACTCTGTAAATAATACTCTAGAGGCAGTAGGCAAAATCTCAAAGAAAATATTAGCCTTTTAAAAATGTCTAGAAACTCTTAGTTTTAGTCTATGGAAACTCAATCATCAAAGACATCAAAACTGTTTTCTCTTTGTGTCAGAGGAGACTGAAAGAAAAAACACAAGGCTGAGACCCAGTCAGTTCTCTCCAGGTTGGCCCTGGTTTCAAGTTTGCCGGCTTGAAGGCATGGGATTTTATTGATCTCATCCAGGTCCACCAGCAACTCTGTGCAGATACACGCATGTAAGCTCCTGTGCCTCAAAGGTCTGGGTTTGGGCCAGAGTAGAAACAAGATCACTTTTCTTCAGGTCTCGCTAAAAAATTCAAATGAAAGCCCTCTTGTCTGATAAAGACAACGTGCAAATGTTCTGGTATTCTCAAATGAGCCTGCCCACATTATTAATAATATTGTGTGTGTGTGTGTGTGTGTGTGTGTGTGTGTGTGTGTGTGTGTGTGCGGTACAAGGGAAAGATGAGGGAAGGAAAAATTAGCAAACACAACCCTCTTATAAGCAATGCCTGCCATTGTTGGTGGTGTTGCCTGGTCTCATTAGCAAATGACAGATACAGGGGAAGCAAACCACATATAAAGGGGAAATGTCTCCTAAGACCCGAAGGGGTTAGAGCCTTGAGCAGACCCATCTCAAGATGGTAGGCCGGGATTCAATGACAATGTAACACTGTCAGGGTTCTTCGTGACTAAGGAGTATGTGCTAAAACATACCCTAGGCTCAAGAACAAGGTGTTAATTTCTGTACATTTCATGATCTGTCAGTAAAAAGATAACATCACTTCAAAGTATAAACATATACAAATCATAAAATTTGTCCCCCAGGTTATTCCCTTATGACAAAAATAATACCCATTCTAGAAAAGTCAAAAATAGATGTAAAAAGTTTTTGAAAACCTAGAAAATAGAAAAAAACAAGAAAGAAAAAAGAAAAATCATGTATATTCCCACTGCTAAAGACATACTCCTGCTATTTTCAATCATTCAGGATAGGCTCCATTATATTATAATAACACACAAGCCCTGATTTTTATCATTTAAAACTATAAAGATTTATTTCTTGCTCACACAGAATAGAATGTCCTTACTAGATTGGCAGGGAGCCACGCTTGATTTGCTCTCAGCCAGGGATGCAGCCTCGCCCATCTGGAACAGTGCTGCTTGCCATAGTTAAAAGAATCACACCCTAGCTCTTAAGTTGGGCCACCAGAAAGTGACATGCTTCATCTATCATGTAGATCAGTCACGTGCCTGACCTCAAACAGGTCAGGAAGTGGGATCCTACCATGGGCCTAGTGGGGGAAAGACCAAAAGTGAAGGTGGACAGCACTAAGGTTAACCAAGCTCTGTTTCCTGCTTCCCTTCCTCTCCCTTCCTTTCATTTGCTTCTTTCCTTTCCAAATGGGATCATGTTTTTAAAATTGGGCTTAATAACTATTCCCTGATGGCCTGCTTAATGCTGGTGATACAGTATCAAATAATACAAATATAGCATTTATGGGGTAATGGGGATGCAGACAATGGCAATCGAGTAATGATTTGTTTAGTGTCTTTAATTCTTCACTAAAACATTGGTGCATACCTTGTACCTTTGCAGTTCAGCACATAATTATGAGGGCAAGCCCATCTCCCAAATTAGTCCTCAAGGCATTCTAACTCCACATTCAAGAGTGCTCCTTCTAAATCCCTGCTACCTGGAATACTGGCTCAACAACTAACCTACAAATCTGAGCTCCACTCACTCAGGTCCAGGAGTCCCTCTTTGCTCTCTGAATATTCAGAGTAAGGTTGTTCTCATCCCATGTGCATGTTTCCTATACGCAAGAGCTATTAAAGCACCTAAGTGTTATTAAGATAAGGATCTGATATCAGAGAGTGAAAAGTGGAATAATGCTGACTTGAGATAAGTGGAGGAGGAGCCAGTGACCAAGAGAGTGATGGAATAAATAAGGAATAGGTCTGAACATATAGGGAAAATAATTTTTAAAGGAACTGGAAAAGCCAGTTGATGGGGATAAACTCAACTATGAAAGGGAAGGAGATGGAGGAAATTCTATTGTACATAAATCTAACAGTGGGATAAATATTGCAGATGGGCCTTCACTGTGGAGAATAAGAGGGTAAACTAGAGACATAGAGCAATATGGATGTGGCCAGATCCTTTCAGAGTAGTGCAAGGTACCTGGGTAGAAGGAATAACTGTTGAGCTCAGAATTGCAGCTAACTAAAGGATCTGGGTCAGCTCCCTAGAAAGAACTGTTAATGCCCTGATTGTCACTAACCAAAAGAGATGTGCCTTGTAGGAATTGCAGAGCTGCCAAAACCTTCCTGAGATATCATGATGCAGTGGCCACTCACCAGATGTTCATTTGTGCCGGCATTCAGATTTTATTACTAAGTAGCATCCAGTCTCCTGTATGCCAATAATGAGGATAACCTCCCCTTCCCCACTGAGATGCTGTCAGAAGAGTGGACAATCAGGACTTTTGACTGTCACCAAGTGGTAATGAAACCACTGCCACCACAGTGTCAATGGAGACCATGTGGGAAGCCAGAACTCCTATCCCTGCCCAATAGTAATGAAGAGGTCCCCTTCTTTGGGTGTCAGCAGAGGTCGAATGAGGAACCTGGATGTCCACCTCCACCTGGCAGTAATGAGGCAGCATACCCCCCTTTTCCTGCCAGAGTGGTATCCAAAATAACAACAACAACAACAACTAAAATTAAGGTTTACACAAGATCCAGAACTTCAAATCATAATACAGAAAAGTCCAAGTTAAAATTAAAAAATCACTCTTTATATCAAGAACTAGAAAAATCTCAAACTGAATGAAAAATGAGGCCTACACCAAATGACAGAGATGTTAGAATTAATTGAAAAAAACTTTAAATTATCCATTGTAAAAAAATACTTCAACAAACAATTATGAACATGCTTGACACAAATGAAAAAAAAATAGAAAAACTCAGAAAAGAATTGGAAGTGTTAGCAAAGAAGTATAAAATATAAAGGAGAACCACAATTTGAAATTTTGAACCGAAAAATATAATAACCAACAGAAGTAGTCGAAATTCAGCAGATGAGCCCAACAGCAGAATGGAGGGGACAGAGGAAAGAGTCAGTGAACTGAAAG